GCGAAGCCAGGGTGCCGGTGACTTCGCGTCATGAACGGATTATAGATCTCTGGGTGCGTGCTTAATTTTCACGGGTGTGTTAACTTGCTTTCTGACATTAAACCATGCCTTGTACTGGTACTATGCATTAGTGAGCGTGCGTCGTCAAAAGTTGCATCCCAAATTAGTCGTATGCATGCGTGCCTCCTCGGAGCGTCGAGAGCTTCATTGATCGCCCGTGACCCCACCCCGAATAATGTTTAATTGGACTTATCATCATATCTTGTCGACATTCATCGTTTTGTGCCTATCCATTCGGCGGGTCACGTACGATTCTAGAAGTGCAAAGCTACACGACAGTTAACCATAGTTAGCCACAGCCAATCTATCAGCTGCTCAGTTATGCTCAAACATTTTAATGTAGTCATCATCATCAGTTTCGTTTTCCCCTCACTCTTCCTCATTCTTCGGTTGGCCTTTACGTTCACCAATTAACATTTTCTTTAATGGTTGCAGGTCTGTGCTTAATCCATTCCAAAGCATGAGAAGGATCGGCCATTTTTTGGCATTTGGAGCCGGGCTATTTAACTTGTTCCTTTTTTTAATTACCACAACTAGAGCGCCACCAAGGGACAATTTCGTTTACCCATCGGTTTCCTGACCTGGCTGGATTGCGCTCAAGATTATTAAATACTACATCCTATTCTTAATATAACACCTTATTTAATTTTTATTTTGATTATAAATATAAAATCTCAATCTATTTTATCTCTCACATTTACATATTTTTTTCTTAAAATTGTCCTTTTAATAGATTAACAAAGATATTTTAGAAAATATAATATATATTTATTACAAATAACTAATTTAATTTATTTTTTTAATCTATTTAAATTAATGAAGTAATTATCATATTGCAGCAATTTCTCCGCCTGCAATCGCTCCTCCCTCTAAACCAAGTAAATAAACATTGACATTCGGATGACAGCCGTTGTACACACAAATAAGGTACTTTCATTCCCGTTCAATACATTGTTTTTTTTTTTTTTTTCCAATCTTTTCTTTCCGCTTTAAACATGCGATGCATAGGAAATTGAAACAGCTCACAATTTTTACACATGCATGGAGTATGGACATACAAAGGAAATCAAAATGAACAAAGCACACCAACAACGATCACTCATGTCTGCAAAGCATGGTCCTGAACTCAATGATCACCAGCCACTCTCTCCTCCTTTTCCTTCTCTTCCTCTGTCTTGAGTGATAACCAGGAAGCTTCTCTTTGATCTTCTCAAGTATGCCCTTCTTCTCCTTGGCTTCCCCTTCCGGAGCCACGTCAGCGTCAGTGACCGGGTGCTCCGCTGAAGCCGACGGTGGTGGAGAAGTGACCTCCTCTGTCTTCTTGTGCTGGCCTGGCAGCTTCTCCTTGATCTTGTCGAGGAAGCCTTTCTTCTCCTCAGGGTGGGATGGATCCACCTCCACTTTCTCAACCGGAACCGCTGTGTCCTCGTGCTTTTCTTCTTCCTTGTGATCACCTCCTATCTTTTCCCCCATCTTCCCTTTCAGTCCTTTCTTTTCCTTCTTCTTCTTCTTCTCCTCCCCGCCTTCCCCCTCCTCATCGCTCGACTGCAATATATATGTCAAGCACAACAGAATTAAGCTTCCCAGAATCCATGACCAAGACGTGTAAACAGTACTTTAGACTTTTAATCCACTGTGAAAGACAAAAATAACCGGGATACTTACAGAGCCAGAGCTGCTGTCGGATCGGTGAAGCTCTTCCAAGAGGGTGTGCTTCTTCTCTGATCCCTCCTCTTCTTTCTTCTCCTCCGCCTTACTCTCGTGTTTATCAGAAACCTTCACCTTCTCGAACTCGGTGGCGACTGCCTCCTCCTGAGCCTTCTCTTCTTCTTTTTCTTCCCAGTGACATCAAAACGCCGCGGTCCTTGATCTCTGTCTCGGTGGCCTCCTGCTCATGGATCTTGCTCTGGTTCTTCTCCGCCATATTCACAATTGACAAGTGATTAACTTGCACAGAGGAAGCTGATCAAATCAAAGATATGGATGAATAAGAAAGCAGACGGATCAATAGGTAGCCGTGAGGATACAGTGTACTTTGGAAGTGTGCGCTGAACTGAGGAAGCGATACGTGAGCGCACGAGCCTTTATAGGGTGGAGGACGCGCATCCCCCGCGATCAATTAATCATACTAAATTATTGGTTAAAGTAGTAGATCTAATATTTTTTATAATATTTTTTAATTTCACTCAGTAACCTCTTATGTATGGTTTAGGATGATAAGTAGATTGTAAATAAAAAAGTGATTCAACTACGTTATAAATAAAAGTAAAATGAGATAGAACTAAGAAATAATATTAAAATGCTCATGTTGCTTTTATCATAATTTTAAATTTAATATTATAACCAATGGATCCTTGACTATGAGTGTGAATGATGGCAATTACGCTACCTCCGGTTTTTGTTTAATTTTTAATTTTCTCTTATATATAAAATCTTAATTTACTTTTTTATATTTATTTAATTTTTTAAGATAGTCTTTATAATAGTATCATTTTAAAGAAGACAACATCTATTTGTTATAAATAATTAATTTAATTAATTTTTTAATATATTTAGATTAACTAATTAGCTTCATCAGAAAAACCAGTAAAAGCCAAACAAAATACTGTTTGCAAGGCCGACGTGGGCAATAAGTTCGTAGGAGAAACGGAAGTGTGACCTTACACGACGAAAACCGTACGCGCCAGCTCTGAAAGACACCTGGGAATGCAGGTCCAACATGTGGTTAGAGAGGAAACATATGCTCTTCCGATTCTATTTACAAGTTATTTTTAATATATTTTATATAGATTAAAAAAATTTTAAAATTAATTAATTCTCATTTAAAATTTAATAAATTTTTAATTTTATCCCTATTTAATACTCTTCCGGTCCTTAATATAAGACACATTTAATTAATTTGATTAGATTAAGGAAGTTAGATAAGTTAGCTAATTACAAGAAAAATGACACATTTTTCCTAAAACACCATAATCATCTTTCTTAATACCCCATCTCCTTCTTCTACTTGATTATGGTTGAGAGAGTATCTATAGGGGTAATTTAGAGAAAATTGATAAATATGAGAAATGAGTCTTATATTTAGGACCAAAATAAACTCAAGAATTGGGTCTTATATTAAGGACCGGAGGAGTACTATCTCTGGTCCTATTTATAAGAACTAGTTGACTGATTTGAGAAAATTAAAAAAGGAAGTTAAATTATTTATTTGTAATAAATAGGTATTGTCTTTCTTAAAATATCATTACTAATCAAGTGTATTGGCCAGAACTATTATTGTTAGAAGGACTATTTTGAGAAAAAATATATAAATATGAAAGATAAAGTAGATTGGGGTCTTATATTTATTATCAAAATAAAAGTCAAACAAGGTCTTATATTAAGGACCAGTGATAGTATATATTATACTTCATGTAAACGAAATTAGCACAATAATAAATTAAGAGTAAAACTATATATTTATATAAAAAAAATTCTCTCAGTATCCTATAAATAACATTAAAATTTTTTTTCTTCATTTTATAAATAAAACTAAACGAGTACGTGATGATGCCTTCGAGGATGGAAGGTAGTGGGGGAAAAGCGAGGGCCAAGAGGTGGGAGCGGAAATAAAAGATGTCGGGCCAATGAAAGAGAGGACACGTGTAGAAAGAATGAGTGGTAGGCTTTAATGTGGGACCCGAAATGTCGGTGTCGAATGAATAAATAGGCCGTCTGGGAGAAGGAAGTGGGCTTTTCCAGAGTGTTGCTGGTCGGTGAGTGATCCTGTCTCAGGCCCCCACCCTCTTTCTTAAGGCAGGTGCCACTCCATTTTTTAAAGTCCATACCTTGCTCTTTGACAAGTGGTCGGCTTGGCTGGTTTTTCCCCGGCTTCAAAAATTATTCTAGTTCTTTTAATTCAATCTTTTCAAAGACTGCATTTTTTTCCTTAATATTTAATTAAAAAACAAACAGTCATTGATTTTAACACCCTTGACCTTTATTGTACCCAAGTTTTTTGTCGACCAAAGTGTGTCGAAGGTAATTTTTGAAGCTCACATTCTGTCGTTGCCTCTATCCCTTAATTCAACTTTAATAGCTTTCAACTGAATTAGAATCAACCTAATCATTTTTATCAGTCTTGAAAAAAAATACTAAATTGTTGCAGGGACAATAATCTACTTAAATAAATGGCTAATCATGATGCTCGTTGTCTCGGCTATTTATATCGATATATTGACGACTCAATATTTACTCATGTGATGTCATTTGTTTTTACAGGAGATAATATTGTCTTATATTATCCATACTTATTTGTTTTTAAAGCGCCACAGATTATAAAAAGCATGACATAGCCCATAAATAAGATAATACCCATCCGGTTCTAAATATAAGATCAATTATAAAATAAAAATATTACAAAATAAGTCTTATATTTAGGACTAGAGAAGTAATATATTAAATATAAAAATTTTTGAATTTTTAAAGCAAACTGATTATATCACAGTAAAAATGCGATGCGACAACTAGACACTCGCTTATCAAAATTTAAAATTGTACGAGTTAATGTGATATGTATTGTATTATAGGTAACAGCCAGACTGATCACACATTGACTCGTCGACATCTCCTTGTCAATCGAAAAATTCTTATTTATGAGGACCCTAATGACATTCTCTCTGGACTGTGAGCCCAAAAAGGGAAAAGCGGTACAGTGCAAAACTGTGTTTTATAACTCAAAAGAAAAGGAATTTGGGCTGCTCTATTTTCTTGCCATATTTGGGTTGGGCTGGCTGATCCAAAGATGTATATTTATGAATCGAACACCTTCGGGTTCTGATGATGTTTTAAAGGGCCTGGACTTATGGGCTGGGTTCATTATTGGGTTATGTTGGGGAAACATACAGATCCATAATAAAGGAAAGGGATGATGGATTATGGAATTTTGAACGAATTGAAATTTGAAAGGGGAACGAAACTTAATTACGGGGAGGAAACGATCAGCGAAGAAATAGAGCCGAGACGAAGCGAGCGCTGGTTGATCCCTCCCCCCAGTCATCTGATAAAATTTCGTCGTCCAGTTTTCAGGTTCTCCACAAATCGACGTTTCCTGCAGATAAAGTGAATAAGAGGGTTTCCGCCTTGAGACAGAGGACGAGAGAGGGAGAGAGGCCACGATGATAACGCGATCGAATCTGGCCGAACAGCTGCGGGAGTATCAGATTCGATCCAAACACGACTGGGCTTCTATCTCCTTTTTGTCCTCTACCTCTTCTAATGTTACGACCTCGAGGTGCGTCTAGCATTTAACTCGAGTCATGTTAAATTCTATCTCGTTTCTTTTTAATCTTTATTCAAAAGCTTTCTTCCCCCATTCATTTCTTTTACTCTTTTATCCAGTTATTTTCTTTAGTCTTGGTATAATTGGGCCTAGCTTTTTTGTTTCACCTGTTATTTGTTCGTTCACATGGGCAGTTATATGATTTAGAATTATGATTGAAATTGTCATTTACCTTTTCAACCTCAAATTCGGCTAAGTCGGCAGTGTTCTGGTCTGTTTTGGATCTCTTGTTCGAACATTCGATTTAGTCGTTCTTCTTTCGCAAATCAATTCATTTCGGCTTGGTTGTCTGAATTGGGATTCAGATTATTCGCAGGTATGCGCCTGGGTAATAATAATAACGCAAAAAATCTTTCGTCGTTTCTCTAAAAATTCGTGAGACCATGCCCTGGTATGCAGAACGTGGCCATTTTTTAGCTCATGTCTTTTGCCCTGTTATTAAGCGGAACAGTGGAAGCAACATTTTGATTAGAGTATCATGAGACCATGCCTCGTCAGGTTCTGCTTCTGAACATCTCAGATCATGGTTGCCATCCCCTGGCTATCAAATTTTTCTTGAAAATAAGGTAGAATGTTTAGATCAGGTTGCACATTAGGTATCAAATTCAGACTGATCTCTTACGGAAAGAAAGCAAGGTCTTGATTTTTTTAACCATAAGAAACAAGGTTTTGATTGATAATTTGATATTTGATAATCCTTTACAGTGCATTTCTGGTTCATCCATCAAATGATGGCCAAAATGATTAAGCTGTGTGGTAATAAAAAGACGTGGGGTTGCTTTGGGCAGTTATTAGATTCGAAGTTTCTTAAGATAAGGTCAAGTGTCAACAATAGTTGTTGGATTGTAAATTTTTGGTGAATATTGAAGTGTCATCTGACTTGATCTGGAAGGGATACATACTAGATGACTTATCTGGAGTTGAGTTCTTACCTAGCTTAGTTGGTTACTTCTGAAGCCCTTACTATTTTATAACACGAATGCCAGCTTTGAGTTGACAACTTAGATGATCTCTCATTGACTTTGATTCGGATTTCAGCGGTCCTGTTGCTTTTGAAGAAGGCAATTGTTTTTACTATAAGGGCACTGGATTGCATTTTCCCCCCACGCTAATAACTCATAATACTTGGATTCATGGGGCGTATATCTACTGTCTGTGTAGTAGATTTCCGATCTGATGGAATTACGTGCCATTATCGTTGAACGTTCAGTAAGCTTGAAAAGTTACAGCCATTTTACCAATACCTTTACCGAATCTGGGATGCGGAGGGTAAATAAATGCTGACTGACCAGTTATAGTGCCGCCTCGTCCATTGTTCCCCATGCAGAAGATGGATATTCCTAATTGTTTTCACCAATGACTCTTTTGGGCGACTAATCATGATAGAGCGGAAAGTTGCATCTTGGTTTAAACGGAGATGGACGATCGTCTTTGCTTAGCTTTAGCAACCATAATTTGTGTACACTGACATGTTCTGTTTTTCGCTTTCAAATGTTTTATTTTTTGACTTCTGTGATGAGTTTTTTTTGGTTGGGTTAATACCTGTTTGCATGTCGAAGCTTTTAGAACAATCGGTGATTAAAAATATCAATGCCTTTTGCTTATTTATTCTCTTGGTGCAGGGTGGATGTTGTTGTCTTTGTGATATGGGAACTTGTCATTCTGGCTTTCCTGGTTTTTTCAGCAGTCTCTTTGTACTTTAGGCACATCCGGCTTGCTTTTATATTAGTCTGCGTTACAGTGCTGTTGATACTGTGTATGAAAATTACAAAGCAAATAAGAGTGGCAAGGAAAAAGAAACGAAGGATGCTTCTTCCATTGTCAATGTAAACTGATAGCAAGCCTTGGTCTTTGGCGTGTTTCTGGTGCGGAGGTTCCGGGCATGCATTACAGATGACCTTTGTCATTGGTCGAGCCTCTCTTTCATCCTGATTTTGCCCCATGCTAGTTGATCGAAGTCTGTTAGCGATGTTTTGGCATCAAGACTGACACCTCGAATTGGTTCGGGAAGACAACTCAGTTTTGAAGATGGGGCGTTTAAAGGTGTTGGGATTATAGTCGTATGGATAGATGTGCTTCTTTTTGTCATTAGTTATTCTGTATGTAAAGCAGGTTAACAGCACGCACGTTTGGAAGTTTTCAAACAATATCGGAAGAATGCATGTGGAAAGATAATATATGCATGACAGCTTCAAGTGGTCCGAGAGCTGAAATTTTGGGTAAGGTGCTTTAATGATAACTGCTGAAGACTGGAGGTCCGTTCATTATATAAAGAGGTTGAACCGCAAGAAATTCTTCGGACTATAATGCACAGAAATTTCATTTGTTTCTGCTTCCTCCGAGTTTTGGCACCATATGAAAATATATTTGTTGGGTGGTTGCATGTTTCACCAAAATTTTAAGAATGGGACCGTCCTAGCCTGTTTAACTTGTGAAAAAATGTGAAATGGCATCGAGACTGATCCGAAACTGTATACTCTATAGAATGAATAAAAAGAGAGAACCAACTAAAAATTAGAATGCTGTTTGAGTTATTCATAGCCGGTCTGTTTGGATTTACATATTGAAGTGTTTATAGACACAAACACGTTTCATGAGACAAGACTTTTATAATATATTTAGTTCATGTTATATAAATAACAATTAAAAAATTGTTTATAAATTATTTGAAACTAGTCGTGATTCTTTGTTTCGTTCTTTTTTAATTTGTTTTACAAGTTGGTTGTGGTTACAAAATAACATCATTTTATGGTAGTTTTTGTTCAATAATCTAGTATTCCATAACTATTCTTGTATATAATTATTAATTAATTAATTAATTTGATATTAAAATAACGAATTGCTAGTTGGTTATTTTGAGCTCAATGTGTGCTTATAGGTTAACATTTTACATTTCTTGGGTGAGCATTACCTTATTTAAATTAGAAAAATTCCAGAAAAAGCTCTTGGAATATGAAAAATTTCAGATTGGGTCCTGCAATTTTGAAAATAACAGTAAGATTTAATGACTCAATCTGTCATTTTTAAAATTCCAGAACCCAATCTGAAATTTTTTATATTCCAAGAGTTTTTTTTTTAGATTTTTCCATTTAAATTTAAATACTACATTATGAATTTGATTAACAATGTTGTTTTAAAAAAAAAAGAAAATTGCCTAATATTATAATATTATATTCATTAGAAATAGTATTTATTAGTGGCTCTATTTCTTTAATGTTCAAGGGGCCTGGTTCTTTTGTCAAAGTTGCTTTGAATTCTTCTTCTCTGCACAACTTTTTATTTACCTTGACAAATCTTTCTTGCCCTCAACCTTTTTTCCTCATCTTTCGCTAAGGACAAACACGAATTGGATGGCCCTGTTTCTCAATTTGATTTGAACATAACCTTTGACCAATAATTCAGAACAATCTATGAATTACTTTTAACTAATTCTTCATCTTAGCCTTAAAAATCAGTCCGCTTTTCCTAGATAAAATAATAATCGATAATGGTAAGGTTTAGCTCCGCAAAAATGCGCACCGAGGTGAAGATCTGGGCGTTTGCCGTAACGGGTTGATAGATTACACAATCAATTATGCTCTTTTTTCTTTAAAGTTAAATCGGAATAACCATTACGTTTTATTTACAATAAAATAAGCGAGATGCCTCATCAATATTTTTCTTGCCTGCGCATTGTCAAGAGATAAGATGGAATGATATATGAAACATTCATTAAGTTAATATAATTTTTGGTTTTTTAATTTTTGTCTCTCCTTAAATAATCAAAACTTATAATTTAAAATTTAAAAGACTAGAGTCAAAATAAAGACAAGTTTAAAAGATCAAAATTATATTGATATGCTATGAACTTGTGATGGTATAACACAGCACGATAGTTGTTGGCCGAAAAAAGAAAACAACACACCAATCTAATGATAAATAATGAGAATGTGAACAGAGAACTATACCAGATCATCCCCGCCACTGTCCTCTACTTCCTCTCCTTTCTTTTTAAGGCCTTTTTAAGATTCAGATCTGTCAAAATTTTAACACATGAAACAAATATAATAAATATCTTGCTTTTTTTGAAAAAGAAATTTTGTTCATATGCTCTAATTTTTTTATGTGACCAATGCCATTTTGACATTTGAAAATTAGTATAGATATGAATACAATTGACAAAACAGTAATCAATATTGTTGGAAAAAAATTTTGGAAAAAACAGATGAAGAGAATTTTTTAAAAATAAACAACATAAAAAAGAAATTAATTAATTAATTAATTAAGAGCCGACATTCCACTTTACAAGAGGTCATAAAACCACATGTGGCACCACTTTCTGTCTTTTACAGATGCAAGACTGAGCTGGGAGGATATCATTGAGTTTGTTTTTTGAAGGGGGGGGGGGAAGACGGGGCCAACTACTGACAGCATAAAATAAAGATAAAAACGATGGCCATTATCAAACCGAAAAAATAAAAATAAAAAGGCAAGAGAATTATACATAATAAACATCGAAAGACTGGGAGGCAGCTAGAGAATGACCATATATGATCAACATGGAAAACTCCCGAGTGTTGAATTCAAAGTTTAGATGTAGCGAGCTTGATGAGATCCTTCCTGAGGATCTTGCCAGATGGGTTCTTGGGTATTGAAGAAATAAATGCCACTCTTCGAATTCTCTTATATGGAGCAACCTGTTTCATCCACATGCTCAATAGAATCATTATCCATTTGCAAGGACACTGAATATGCCCATCAAGCAGGGAGGCTCACCTGTGCTGCCACAAAATCCATGATTTCCTTTTCAGACACATCACCTCCTCTTTTCCTCACTACGTATGCCATGGGATACTGCCCGACCTCCTTATCCGGGAATCTGAAAAAGTACAGCATGCCCACATTATTTGTCCTTCGAATTTCTTTATATGAAAAAACAGCAGTAAGCTGTTGAGTTGGATAAGGAGATAGGCTTACGGTATGACAGCAGCATCTGAAATTGCATGATGAGTAAGCAACAGGGCCTCTAGTTCCGCTGGTGGCACCTACCACAAAAACAATTGAAACAACATTAAGAGACCATGTCTAATTCTATATGATTATACGAGTATCTATTCAGATCAGGCTGGAAGTGAGGCGAACCAATTAGTTCATTAGAGTGAAATTTGCGTTTTAACTCGTATAAGAGTTTACTTTCCACCTCCCTTGTTATATAATCATAAAATTCTGTGTTTTGCCTGGTACCTGATATCCCTTGTATTTAATAAGCTCTTTCAACCTATCAACGATGAAAATATATCCATCGCCATCAATGTAGCAAATATCTCCAGTCCTCAACCATCCCTCTGAATCAAGGGTCGAGCTGGTTGCTTCCTCGTTACTGAAATAACCTGCCATGACCATGCCCTCACTGTTAATCAAACGCTAATTTAACATCGATCCACTAATTCTGATCTCGCTTGTCGTCAGTCAACTAAATCACATATTTGATATTTGCCTATAAAAATAATAGCATGTTACAGAATCACGACTAGAGATCCAAGTCTATGTAAAGATGTTTTTCCCCCCCCAGATGAACGATTAAATAATATAGTTATAGTTATCCCACCTTGTGAGCCAAAGATAATGAAATAAGAATTATGTCAACGTTTTCTTCGGGGCTCTTCTTGCAGTGTCATATATAACTTCTAAGTTTTAATCATCTACCATTGAGACATGGACGGAATTTAAAATTTATAATCATAATAATAAAATAATGACGCGCCTTTCATGATAGTGGGACCTCTGAGCCAGAGTTCACCGGTCCGATTAGGCGGCAAAGCCTCTCCGGTTTCAGGGTCGACCACTTTGGCCTCGGTGCCGGGTGTCAACAGCCCGGCCGTGCCGTACCTCCGACTCTCCTCCAGTGAGTCCGTGGATGCCCCGACTCCCGTGGATTCGGTCAACCCGTAACCCTGGAGAATTGTAACGTTCGGGAACTTGTCCACAAAGCCCTCTACCACCTCCTTACTCAGAGGAGCCCCACCCGACATAACCGAATGTAGCGACCTCAAATCGTACTTCGTCTTGATCGCATCCGCACCGTTCATCATCGCCACCAGTATAGGCGGCACCAGCGGCAGGTACGTCGCCCGGTACTTCTGGATCGCCGACAGCATATCGCCCATGTCGAACGTGGACAGCACCACTGTTGTCGATCCCGAAGCCAGAAGGCCCGTCGCGAACGCAACCAGACCATATATATGGAACATAGGGACAGTGCATATGAAGGTCTCCTCCTTGTCCATGTTGAATCGACCCGAAATTATCTGCACCATTGCCATCAAATTCCGGTGCGACGAGATCACGCCTTTACTTGGACCCGTGGTGCCCGATGAATAAAGTAAAGTTGCAGTATCATCTTGGCAAACTCGATCCCTGACTTGGCTCGCACGGGGCTCCGTCTTCATCATCTTGCCCAGCGTGGTCACGATTTTAGGCTCTGTGATTGCGGCGGCGGAGTCTTCCTCAATGAGAACAATCGGTAGGTTTGAAGTTGCGGTGATCTGGGGAAGTAGAGGGCGAATTGTGAAGGCCAGGGCAGGTTTGGAATCGGAGATTTGCTTGGCGATTTCGCGGGTGGTGTTGAGAGGGTTGGTGGTGGTGATGATAGCCCCAAGGGACATGACGGCGAGGCAGACGACGGGAAAGTAGATGGAGTTGGGGGAAAGGAGGAGGACAACATGGCCCTTTCGAATACCAAAGTCAGAGAGGGAGGCGGCGACGGAATGGACGGCTCGCCAGAGTTGGGGGAAGGTGAAGTGGCGACCGGTGGCGGCATCGACGAGAGCAAGCTTGCCATGGTGGGCGCGAGAGGAGATGAAAGTGGTGACGTCCAGTGAATAGTTTTGAGGAAGCGGCAGGGGCTTCCGTTTACTGTAGAAGACGGAGTTGGATTTGCAGAACCCGCTTCTTGCATCTATTTCCTCCATCTCTCCGATCCTTTTCACTTTCACTCCCGGTGTCGCCTCGGTCAGTCACTCGCGGCATAAAAGTCATGCAGGCTCGTTTCGAATCTATATATCGAGAAATTCTTGCGTGAACCCGGCGCACCACTTAATCATAATGCAATTGCGCCAACGGTTCAGAATAATCTTATGCGGATGGTCTATGCAGCCAACTTACATATATTCAGTCATACATGGCATCATAGTTGAAGAAATAAGAAAAAATGGTTAAAAAAAACTGTTGAAATAAAAAAATTATAAATAATGACTCATGTAGTATGGGTTTTGAAAATATTATTTTCAAAACTAGTCCTGTGTGCAATTTTTCCATGGTTTTTTACTATTTTCCCGTGAAATAATCCCTGTGGGCCTCACCAATTTTTATTTAGCAATTTCTCTTTCCATCAATTAATTTCTCTCCCTTCCCCCCATTTTCGCTTCCAATTATGCACTTTTTATTTTCCATCGAAGCATGACACGTTTTCGTTCAACTTAAAAGCTCTGCAGTTTTGTTTTTTAAACAAAGCTGTCCAATTAATTTTAATTATATCTACCGCTGGTTTTGGGCCACTGTAGACTTGGGGTTTCTTAATACGCTGCTCCCTCTGTTTCTTATTATAAGAGACGAATAATCGAATTATGTTAATAAAAGAAACAGTTAAAATTAGTTAAGAACAATCAATGTGTAAAAAGTATAATTTTTTTTCAAAAAAACCCTCATTAATAAGGAGAGAGCATGAGAGAGAACAATGCTAAATTATTCAAAGAAAGAAAAGTGGGAAGGAGAGAGAATATAAGTAGGAGACAATAAATATGGGTAAAATAAGATATCAACAACAAAAAATAAAGACAACTTTTAAGTGTCTCTTATATATATGAACATGCCATAAGCATCAAATGTCTCTTATAATAAGGAACGGAAGGAATACTATCTTTCATATTTAATATAATAACTAGTTTGATATTTAATTTAATTTTAAATATAAAATTTTAATTTACTATGTCTCTTGTTTAAGATTAATAATTTTAGAGTTAAAAGACTAAAAATATATTTTTTAAAGTTAAGGATCATGCCAAAATCTTATGTAAAAATAAAAGACCAAATGTATACTTTAATCTAATATAAAAGTTATTATATAAAATTATAATTTTGCTAGATATAATTAAAATAATAAACATGTGATTGGGATTGGGATTGAATTTAGTTGCAATACATCATACGTATATTATTTATTTCAATTGATATAACAAATAAAGGAAAACAAATTTAATAGACGAAATACTACATTTGATCTTTAGTAACAACTTCTCTATTATACTAAGTATAAAATTGCACAAAAAAATATTTTAATATACTAAATGTATCTAAATATATTTTAGAATGTTGAATGTATTTTAAAAGACAAAATTCAGGTCTATACTTATATTCATTAGATCTATTTTTCTATTAAAATTGAAGTGCATGGGTTTTCTAATATTAAAAATTGATAGGAATAAAATTTTAAAATTCCGTTAAACTAAGCAAATTAACTTACTTTTTAACTGCTAAGCTTTGTTAAATATAAAAATATAAAAATTGAAAGATGGGCATTGTTGGAAGTGAAAGTCGGATGAAGAGAGAGAAATTATTTGATGGAGAGAGGTTGTTAAATATAAAAATTTTTGCGACCCACTGGTTATTATTTCTCTGATTGTGATGCCACGTAAGAGTGAAGTTATATGAGCTGGCTCTCTTTTATCGCATAGACCGCAAATGATGTCATGTGCCGGATTCACACAAGAACTTCTCCTATATATCCCATAAACTCTATGGCGGTTTTGTGATTGGTCCACGTGGTGATCTTGGGCAATATTTTCTTTTGCATGTTATTGGTTTATCTTCATTTATTGTCGGTCTTTTTGTTTCCTTATGTTTTGGGAGAGTGGGATCTTTCTTGGGTTGGTGATCTTATAAATATGGAATTGTTGGGGGGGCTTTTGTGCCATTGTTTTTGTTTTTTCTTTTTTTGTTTTAGTTGTTTAGTGTTGGTTGTTATCTTTTTTCTTTGCCATAGAGAGTTGTCCATAAGAATAGATTGCTTTATAGAGATTTCTTTGGCTCCCATGAGGTCAAGATATCGTGATACATATCTCTGTGCTCGTATTTCTTGCGCGTGTGTATGATGACACTATTTGGCTTTGTGGAAGGCGGTTGAGGTCTTTGAGTTTCATCATTGTGGTGGCAGGTAGGTAATGAGTTCTTTCACTTTTAGGTGTTTGCTTGTGTTCTTCAAAAGCATGTTAAATAGTTTTTGTTTTTAAGACGGATTAATTTTCTTGTAGCAGGTTTGAAACCAGCAAGATGTTGGTAATGTTCCTGGCGTCGATGCCATTGTTGTCAGAGTCATGGAATACGTGCGGCCAGGCTAGCATTGCCGCACTGTGGAGTTTCATGACAGAGCGAATTAGCAGCATAATTTCACATTTTCTAGTATTTGAATGGCTCAAGCCTCTGATCCAAGCTGGTGGAGCTCAGTAGCTTTAGACCGTATCAGTGAGGCGGTGCTGTTATCATCGCTTTAAGGCGAGCAACGGGGAATGGTGCACGCCAGGATACTTAATACTTTTCAGTTTTACAATGTAAGGTATAAGATGTTTTCAGATGTTTGACCCCTCCCTATAATTATAATTTTTTTCAGTTTTTTTTATTTGAATTTTTGGGATTTGTACTCCATTTTAATGTGTCTCATAATCATATAATTCAGGAAAACTTTTTTTTAAAAAAAATCGAAATAGATATTCTCTAATTTTATTGCATAGAATTAAAAGAAATCCATTTTTTTTATTTCTAAAGATATTCTTGGTCAACAGTTTGTTTCTCCAAAAACAATTATTTTTTCTGAGAGAATCATTTTTCAAATTTTTGCTATTGTCTATTAGATAGGTGGACGCAAAATGAACAAAAAGGATTGAAGTAGAATCTTCTTAAGATTTTTAAAAGAAAACATAACATAAAGAAATGATCAAGCAAAGATAAGAATAAATAAATGAAACCACAAAATACTCCTTAACAAACCATCCGCATGAGAGGCAAAAATATCAGAACAACTATTTTGACTTCACACTTTTTTTTTCTTGGTTATAGATTTCACTCTAAACTAATTTATAACAAAATATATTAAATAAGATATTCGTGGTAAAATATATTAAATACTGTTTAGATTAAGTCTAACCAGATAAATTATTTTCTTGGTTGGAATGACTTGTTAGTTTAATCTACAGATAATATCCTTCTCTTGGAATTTTCAAAGTATTCAAGTGGCATTTTGGAAGATGTGAATGTTAAATGATAAATGAGTTTTTGACTTTTCATAGTCCCCCCATATTGATCGTCTAACAGTAAATAATGAAATTTTTTTTATAACTGAGTCATTAATAGAAGAGATAATAAATGCATAGAAGGAAAATAAATTATGTTTTACAATCAATATATTGTATATTTAATATGAAATAAGTGGAAAGAAATAAAAAAATGCTTGGTGGAGAAAAATTATTTTAAGTAATAACTGAGGTATCGTTGGCGAACTAAGTGTACTGAATATCATAACTTTATAGTGCATTTTTGAATAATATTTTAAGAAATATCTAAAGGATATACTACCTCCGATCTTAATTATAAGAGTTCATTGACTAATTTGAAGATATTAAGAAAATAAGTTGAGTTAGTTATCTGTCCTAAATAGGTGTTGTTTTTTCTAAAATATCCTTGCTAATCAAGTGTATTAATTAGAATTATCATTGTTAGAAGTGCTACTTTAGGAAAAAAAAATGTATAAATATGAGAGACAAAATGGATTGAGGTCTTATATTTAGAACTAAAATAAAAGTCAAACATAATCTTATATTAAGGACTAGAGGTAGTATATATCAAGATGCCACATCTCGCAACTTCTTGTTGTGAAAATTGTAATAGAGGTTTTTAATAAACTTTATTAATCAGAAATGTTATTAGCATTTATTAAGCCTTTTGTTTCCTTCCTTCAAAATTAAAAGCTACATACAGAGATAACAAAAAATTACTGATAGCCCCTATACGCATATCGAAATTAAACATACAGCCAGGTGTATCTTAATTACAATTTTGTTTACTTCTTTTTTTTTGAATTTTTTATTAGTTTTCAGCCGTTATTAATATATTAAGAATCTAACCACTTACTCATCTGGTTCTATTTATAAGACAGAGAGAAATATTTTTTTTTCTATTTATAAGTCATTTCGTTAAATTTTTAACATGAATGTACTATTTTATCTTTATTTATTATAACATAGATAGTTATTTTTTTTAAAAGTGTATATATTAAATAGAAGTAAAGTTGACAAGTTGTTATATTTTAATGGAGAGTTATTGTAGTTTAAGATTTTGCTTGGTCTATGTAAAATATGTTAGAAATGTCTCATTAATAGAACTAAAAGAATATTTATTTAACTCAAATTTCAGATGGTGTAACAATAACAATTTTAGTCTTTGTTTTTGTCAAAATTTTTCTCAAAAGTTTGGGGGTCAGAATTCATGTTTTGTTGTTTGGCATTTACTTTTTTGGGAGGCAGTGAAGGTGGTTACTTACGTTTCTTATTTGCTCCTGTTTGGGTTCAATGCGTGTGGGGCCGCTGGCCTTCCATTTCTCTGCAAAAAACTAATGTTCAGGGTTGTGATATTCGCAGCACAACTTAATCATGCCTATCCGACAAATAAATTGTAGACTTTTTTTGGTGGAGGGGGATTATATAACCAATGTTTTAATATGATTTGCTATTAAATTAATCTTTTTTCTTCTCAGTCTATCAAGTATAATAATCTAATACCATAATGCTTCAATGAATAATTATTAATTGTTGAAATGTAATATGAAAATATCTATCTTATATTAATATATAAAATAAAGTCAGAGAATCTCTATTCACGTATCTTTTTTATGATGAATTAATCAATATAGAAACTCCATAATAAAAGTTATATTACAAGGTCTCGATTGTTTTAATGGATTTTATTTCTCATAATTACCTAATATTAAATTGTGAGATTTAAAAATAAACTTGAAAAATTATTTCATGAGACAAAATTTTTATAACATATTTAGTTCATGTTACATAAATAATAATTAAAAAGCTATTTATAAGTAATTTAAAACTAGTCGTGATTTATTTGTTTCGCTCTTTTTTAATTTGTTTCATAGGCACAAACACAAATTTGGTTGTGGGTACAAAATAACATCATTTTATGGATAGTTTTTGTTCAATAGTCTAGTATTCCATAATGACTATTCCTGTATATAATTATTAATTAATTAACTTGATATTAAAATGACGAATTGCTAGTTGGTTATTCTGAGCCGAATGTGTGATTATAGGTTAACATATTTACATTTCTTGGGTGAGCATTACCTTATTTAATTTTAAATACTACGCTATGAATTTGATTAACAATGTTGTTTTTTTAATTAAAAAAAAGAGAAGAAAATTGCATAATATTTTAATATTACATTCATTAGAAATAGTATTTATTAGTGACTCTATTTCTTTGACGTTCAAGGGGCCTGGCTCTGAACTCTGAAGACATGAAATTAAATTAGACAGAAATATGTGGCGAGATGAGTTACTGGAGAGCGGACAGGTAATAGAAGCTGATTATCCATCAGGATTCATCAATCATCAGTGGGGGTCAAAGAAGTTGGTGTTGATGCCGTGTGCGGCTATTCCCCAGATGGCGCCGGCGATGACCAGAACGCTGAGAACCACGCCGCAGACGCCGAGCATCCAGCTGAGCCACCAATTCGTGCTGTACTTGCTTGGCTTCTTCATCTTTAACCACATGAAGCAGGGATACGCCAGGGTGACCGGCAGAGCAAAGCCTCCAAGCAGACCCGCCAGGCTTGGCAAGAAGGGCAGTGCCACGGCAATGAAATAAGCCAGGCATCCGAAGAATACCCTCAAGGCCGCCCTCAGCCGCCTCGGACAAGCTCTTTTCTTCCTGCTTGTGTATCTCACCTCCAGATTGTCGAACACCGGCATTGCGTATATTTGAAATGAGCTCACACTGTTTATCACTACAAGCAGGCTCGCGCATGCCAGCATCGTCTTGGTTGTGTCGTGCTCGTGGTACTTGTGTAATGCGCTTAACATGCCTCCGTTGCCAGGAAGCATTGTCACCAAATTTCCATAGGCCCAATAACCTCCAATGGCCAGGGGCAACACACAGGAGGCGATTATTAGATACGCAAACTTAACACCTCTCCACATGGCCAAGTGCGAGGGTCGGTCCGTATCCGAAGGCAATGTTCCCTATAAACGCAAGATCAATAAACTTTTCCAGAATCGTTAAGCGAGAAGGAGGTGGGGAGGTTTGTGGGGTTGTGAATGACCTGAATTTCGAGCACAAGGTTGTGACCCCTGAAGGTGAAAGCAATGACGCCAAGAGCATTGAAGACGCCAAAAACCCTGGCAGGCAGTGATTGATGGGGCGACGGAGGAAGAGGGAGGAGCTTGCCCTGAACAACGGAGACCGCCCAGATGAGGGTGCAGTAGGCGACGCCGGTGAGGGCTCCGAGGAGGGAAACCGCCGCCATTGAGTTGAGGTTGGGAAGCTGAGCAAGCAGAGTGGCAATTGCTGTAAATAGGAAATACCACTCCGTGGTGGTGAGCGCATGCCCCTTCTCTCCCACTGTTTGGAAGAATGCCTTCATGGCGCCTCCTCCGATCATGATCAGCGTCACACACGTGCCCCCCGACAGGTACATGATTGGCAACAATGCCACTGCTTTCCCTACCTTCTCTCCTGTCATCATCATCCATCCATTTAACTCACTCATATCCGCCTTCTTCTCACTATGATTCTATTATATTGCGGTAATCACGCAAGAAGAAGAAAAGCAATTACCAAATGCGGCCGTGGCTAGTCGGAGATATCTGCTGTGACGCGCTCCTGCGGGGTGGGATTCGTGGAGGTGGATCAGCAACCAAAGGGTGTAGAGCTGCCACGAGAAAGCGATGCAGAGGCATGTGATTCCCCAAGTCCTGCACCCCCATGCATGCATTAACCAAATTATGAGAAGGAATATTCACAAAGGAATGATGAGAAGGAGGGAAGTAATTAACCAGCCGAGAGTAGGGAAAGCCAGAGGGAGGACAAGAGCTTGAACGCCGATGCCGGAACTGAGGGCATGGAAAGCAGAGCAGTAAGCGTTGCCGTGTCTGGACTCAGTGATGGGAAGCCAGGCGTCTTGTGGGTCAAGCTTGTTCGAGTGGCCAGCTTCCTCCTTGTGCCCTCCTATTCCCTTCATTGCGCTGCTCTAGATAGAGCGCCTGCTATCTCTATATGGGTTTTCACTCCTTTGCCCTCTGCTTCTCTGCCTGCTCTCCCGCTTTCTATCACTTCCCTGAGCTTTTCGCTTTTGCGGTTCACTCCCCTCTGCCCCTTTTTATCCCCTTCGTCTTCCTCCTTACTGCCCTCTTTCATTAAACTACTCTCTACTTGTCGTATCTGCTCGTGCTCTTTATTTCATTGCAGGTGTATATTTATGTGTTGGTCAATTGACCATGTGTCCCCTTTTACTCCCCCCCCCCTTTATAATAATATTTACAATTAGCTAATCTATCATGGCCTGAAGTCACTGAAACGAAAAAAAAACAAGCCTCCACTCAGAATCACATCACTGAGATGATATGTGACCCGTGACCCTACAAATTAAAGCCTATGGAGATGTATTAGTAAAATACACACACACAAGCAGATATCAATTTGTTTATTGGGAAGATGGTGGCACGACGATGATCTCCGTTGCTACTTTTCTTCAAAGCCTCTCCAGCTTCGCTTTTTCCTTCTTGTTTCTCTCGCTCCATCTTTTTCCCACACCTTTTCCCTAAACTTCGAATGCCTGATTTTGGTTCCAGCCCCAACTTAAATTTTTTGCCCTTTCTGGGTTGACCCAGAACGAAGACTCGAGAAAGCCGCACAAAAACATGTATCTTTAGGGCTTGTGGTTGTGGGTGTAGACACAGCACAAAACCATCAGGCCATGCATACTGCCAATAATTCTCCCTCTGATTCCATTAAACAATGGATTCTTTGTATATGGGCATGCTTGGAATGCCACCTTCTTTTGTCAAAGTTGCTTTGAATTCTTCTTTTCTGCACAACTTTTATTTATCTTCACAAATCTTTCCTGTCATCACCCTCTTTTCCTTATCTTTTGCTAAAGATTGGATGGCCCTGTTTCTCAATTTGATTTGAACATAACCTTCGACCAATAATTCAGAACAATCTATGAATTACTTTTAACTAATTCTTCATCTTAGCCTTAAAAAACCAATCCGCTTTCCCTAGATAAAATAATAATCGATAATTGTAAGGTTTAGCTCCGCAAAAATGCGCATCGAGGTAAAGGTCTGGGCGTTTGCCGTAATGGGGTTGATAGATTACACAATCAATTATGCTCTTTTTTTCTTTAAAGTTAAAGTCGGAGTAACCATTAAGTTTTATTCAAAAAAAAAGTGAAGATTGAGGTTAGGGGTAGTCAAGTAGTGACAGATTAACAGGCGGCCCAATAGCCTAGGCTCAACCGGGCCGAAAGAGAAGAAGTTGCAAAGAAGTAATGGTTGCCCTTTGTCTATATTTTGGGCACCGGGCGACGTATTGCCTGCCCTGTGTGTGTGTGTGTGTGTGTGTGTGTGTGTGTAGAGAGAGAGAGAGAGAGTGTGTGTGTGTGTGTGTGAATAATTTTTTAAAGGGCTTTTTCTATACATCTCATGCAATACATCGATGTTATGACTATCATGAAAAATTTCTATTATTTTAATACTATAATTTTATTATAAATTTAAGTTGACTTGATAAATGAATATCATATAAGAATAATGTATAATTATTAAGTATTCAGAATTTTCCTAACGTTACTTTTTCAAGGAGATGTATTTTTAAAGGGGCAAACATTTTTTTATTTTAAATTTAATTTTTTGGAAGTGAAAAAGTAACCAGGACAATGCCCCTCCTCCCGTTTGGTGGATGTGTTAAAAAATTAGAAGAAATAATCGGGATGCCTCGTCAATATTTTTCTTGCCTGCGCATTGTCAAGAGATAAGATGGAATGATATATGAAACATTGATTGGGTTAATGCAATTTTTTGGTTTTTTAATTTTGTCTTTATTTTCATTTTTGTTTCTCAAATTATTTTTTATTTAAAATATTAATCCTTATAATTCAAGCAAAACTCAGACTATTTTACCCCTTAGAGAACCAAAACCTATAATCTAAAATTTGAAACAAGTTTAAAAGATTAAAAATTGTATTAATATGTTATGAACTTGTGACGGTATAACACAGCACGATAGTTGTTGGCCGAAAATAGAAAACAACACGCCAATCTGGTGATAAATAATGAGAATGTGAACCAAGCACTATACCAGATCGTCCCCACCACTCTCCCCTATTTCCTCTCCTTTCTTTTTAAGGCCTTCTAAGATTCACATATCTCAAAATTTTAACACGTGAAACAAATATAATAAATATCTTGCTTTTTTAAAAAAAGAAATTTTGTTCATATGCTCTAATTTTTTTATGTGACTAATGCCATTTTAGACCTTTAAAAACTAGTATAGATATGAATACAATTGACAAAACAGTAATCAATATTGTTGGAATTTTTTTTTTGAAAAAACAGGTGAAGAGAATTTTTTCAAAATAAACAACATAAAAAAGAAATTAATTAATTAATTAATTAATTAAGAGCCAACATTCCACTTTACAAGAGGTGATAAAACCACACGTGGCACCACTTTCTGTCCTTTACAGATGCAAGACTGAGCTGGGAGGATATCATTGAGTTTGTTTTTTGAAAGGGGGGGGGGAAGACGGGGCCAACTTCTGACAGCATAAAATAAAGATAAAAACGATGGCCATTATCAAACCGAAAAAATAAAAATAAAAAGGCAAGAGAATTATACATAATAAACATCGAAAGACTGGGAGGCAGCTAGAGAATGACCATATATGATCAACATGGAAAACTCCCGAGTGTTGAATTCAAAGTTTAGATGTAGCGAGCTTGATGAGATCCTTCCTGAGGATCTTGCCAGATGGGTTCTTGGGTATTGAAGAAATAAATGCCACTCTTCGAATTCTCTTATATGGAGCAACCTGTTTCATCCACATGCTCAATAGAATCATTATCCATTTGCAAGGACACTGAATATGCCCATCAAGCAGGGAGGCTCACCTGTGCTGCCACAAAATCCATGATTTCCTTTTCAGACACATCACCTCCTCTTTTCCTCACTACGTATGCCATGGGATACTGCCCGACCTCCTTATCCGGGAATCTGAAAAAGTACAGCATGCCCACATTATTTGCCCTTCGAATTTCTTTATATGAAAAAACAGCAGTAAGCTGTTGAGTTGGATAAGGAGATAGGCTTACGGTATGACAGCAGCATCTGAAATTGCATGATGAGTAAGCAACAAGGCCTCTAGTTCCGCTGGTGGCACCTACCACAAAAACAATTGAAACAACATTAAGAGACCATGTACAATTCTATATGATTATATCTATTCAGATCAGGCCGGAAGTGAGGCGAACCAATTAGTTCATTAGAGTGAAATTTACGTTTTAACTCTTGTAAGATTTTACTTTCCACCTCCCTTGTTATATAATCATAAAATTCTGAGTTTTGCCTGGTACCTGATATCCCTTGTATTTAATAAGCTCTTTCAACCTATCAACGATGAAAATATATCCATCGCCATCAATGTAGCAAATATCTCCAGTCCTCAACCATCCCTCTGAATCAAGGGTCGAGCTGGTTGCTTCCTCGTTACTGAAATAACCTGCCATGACCATGCCCTCACTGTTAATCAAACGCTAATTTAACATCGATCCCCTAATTCTGATCTCGCTTGTCGTCAGCCAACTAAATCACATATTTGATATTTGCCTATAAAAATAATAGCATGTTACAGAATCACGACTAGAGATCCAAGTCTGTTTAAAGACGCCCCCCCCCCCCCCAAAAAAAAAAGGATGAACGATTAAATGATATAGTTATCCCATCTTGTGAGCCAAAGATAATGAAATAAGAATTATGTCAACGTTTTTATTTTGGGGCTCTTCTTGCAGTGTCACATATAACTTCTAAGTTTTAATCATCTACCATTGAGACACGGACGAAATTTAAAATTTATAATAATAATAAAAAAATAATGACACACCTTTCATGATAGTGGGACCTCTGAGCCAGAGTTCACCGGTCCGATTAGGCGGCACAGCCTCTCCAGTTACAGGGTCGACCACTTTGGCCTCGGTGCCGGGTGACAACAGCCCGGCCGTGCCGTACCTCCGACTCTCCTCCAGTGAGTCCGTGGATGCCCCGACTCCCGTGGATTCGGTCAACCCGTAACCCTGGAGAATTGTGACATTCGGGAACTTGTCCACAAAGCCCTCTATCACCTCCTTACTCAGAGGAGCCCCACCCGACAGAACCGAATGTAGTGATCTCAAATCGTACTTCGCCTTGATCGCATCCGCACCGTTCATCATCGCCACCAGTATAGGCGGCACCAGCGGCAGGTACGTCGCCCGGTACTTCTGGATCGCCGACAGCATATCGCCCATGTCGAACTTGGACAGCACCACTATTGTCGATCCCGAAGCCAGAAGGCCCGTCGCGAACGCAACCAGACCATATATATGGAACATAGGGACAGTGCATATGAAGGTCTCCTCCTTGTCCATGTTGAATCGACCCAAAACTATCTGCACCATTGCCATCAAATTCCGGTGCGACGAGACCACGCCTTTACTTGGACCCGTGGTGCCCGATGAATAAAGTAAAGTTGCAGTATCATCTTGGCAAACTCGATCCCTGACTTGGCTCGCACGGGGCTCCGTCTTCATCATCTTGCCCAGAGTGGTCACGATTTTAGGCTCTGTGATTGCGGCGGGGGAGTCTTCCTCCATGAGAACAATCGGTAGGTTTGAAGTTGCGGTGATCTTGGGAAGTAGAGGGCGAATTGTGAAGGCAAGGGCAGGTTTGGAATCGGAGATTTGCTTGGCGATTTCGCGGGTGGTGTTGAGAGGGTTGGTGGTGGTGATGATAGCCCCAAGGGACATGACGGCCAGGCAGACGACGGGAAAGTAGATGGAGTTGGGGGAGAGGAGGAGGACAACATGGCCCTTTCGAATACCAAAGTCAGAGAGGGAGGCGGCGACGGAATGGACGGCTCGCCAGAGTTGGGGGAAGGTGAAGTGGCGACCGGTGGCGGCATCGACGAAAGCAAGCTTGCCATGGTGGGCGCGAGAGGAGATGAAAGTGGTGACGTCCAGTGAATAGTTTTGAGGAAGCGGCAGGGGCTTCCGTTTACTGTAGAAGACGGAGTTGGATTTGCAGAACCCGCTTCTTGCATCTATTTCCTCCATCTCTCCGATCCTTTTCACTTTCACTCCTGGTGTCGCCTCGGTCAGTCACTCGCGGCATAAAAATCAAGCAGGCTCATCTCGAATTAAAAATAAGAATAATCATCGATTTTATACCGGCGGAGCAAACTGGGGCATCACGTTTGACTGTTCGGACTGGTTACAAAAATGGGGTCCCACATGGTTCATGCGCCGTCCACTTTTGTTGGTCAAACTGTTTAAGCGGCGCGTGGAACAAGGCTGTCATTTGGGGAAAATTCAAAATTCCCACGTTTATCAAAAGTCCGAAATGCGATTTTTTTTGTTCTTATTATTTCACTG